TATATATATATATATATATATATATATATATATATCAAGGCAAAACACTCATGCACATAAAATTAAATAAATCTTAAAAAAAAAAAATGACAAGGCTCACAGTGGTCCATGAGGCATAATATACTTGCTGGGTATTTAGCTGTACAGGCACCTGAGTGTCTGTCTGTCTCTCCTTTCCTCCCTTCCTCCCTCTCCATCCCTCTTTGGTTTGTTTGTTCCATTTTTGAGACAGGATTTCAGTAAGCAGCCCCAGCTGTCCTGGAACTTTCGATGTAGACCAGCCTGGCCTTGAACTCACAGAGATCAACCTGCCTCTGCCTCTGCCTCTGGAGTGTTGGGAGTAAAAGCATGAGCCGCCACAGCTAGCCACTACTCTCTGTTTCTTCCTTCCTTTCTTTCTTTTTTTTTTTTTTTACTTCATTTTGTTTTGAGATAAGGTCTCTGGTAAGGCTCAGGCTGGCCTTGAACTCACTATATAGCTGAAGCTGGGCTTGAACTCGTGATCTTCCTGTATTGTCTTCCAAGCACTTGGGACTACAGGAATGCACCATCACACCTGCCCCTGCCCCCATCCCCACCACTTTGTTTTGTTTGAGAGAGGGTCAGAGCCCAGCCTTGATCTTCCTACCTCAGCCTCCTGAGCCAATAACTAGAAGACTAAAACCACACCCAGTCCCGGCCCACACAGTCTCCCAATCGCGCACTCTGCTCTAGCTACACTGACTTCGAACACCTTAGTGTTCGGTAATGACTACCTCAAGACTGTGGCTGGTAGAACTGGGAGTCTAACAGCGCAGGTTCACGGGCGGCGGTGGCGCTCGCCTTTAATCCCAGCACTCGGGAGGCAGAGCCAGGTGGATCTCTGTGAGTTCGAGGCCAGCCTGGTCTACAGAGCGAGATTCAGGAAAGGTGCAAAGCTACACAGAGAAACCCTGTCTCGGAAAACAAAAAACAGCGCAGGCTCATGGACTCTAGTGTAGACAACCCAGGAGGGCAAGAGAAGAGGGTGGTTAAGTCCGGTGTCTTTTAATAAAGCTCCCCCTGCCCCCTCCCCTCCTCCCCTCCCTCACTTCCCCACCGGGATTTGCCGAGTATTACCGGAACCCCTTCGCCCCCTGCTGGTCAGGCCTGAGCCCAGGCGCGCAGGCGTCATCACAGAGGCCCAGTTACTTCGTGAGGTCACACTGGTCCTACCCGTGTCCCGAGGTCCAGACCCTGCGCTGCGCCTTCTGTAGAGTCTGAAGCCCAGAACCCCGGCTGCAAGCCAAGCTCTTATCATGTTGACCTTTGCCCCAGGCTCAGCCAGCCTATCAGGAGGCAGGGAGGGCCCCAGCTCGGTTCCCCACCGCCCCAAGTTGGGCTGGTTTCTGAAGACCCTTATGTCATTGTCCCTAGACCCTTGCTCGGCTGAAGTTGTGGCTGAGATGGGTGGGCTTCAGAGCCAAAGCATGGGAAGGCCCCTTGCCGGTCCTGGTCAGCATTCACACCCTAAGGAGGCGTGGCAACAGCACCACTTATGTCCCTAATGAGCTCGGTACACTGCTTTTGGTTTGGGTTTTGTTGTTGTTTGTTTGAGACAAGGTTTCTTTGTGTAGCCCCGGCTGTCCTGGAACTCACTTTGTAGACCAGGCTGGCCTCCTGGAACTCACTTTGTAGCCCAGGCTGGCCTCCTGGAACTTTGTAGCCCAGGCTGGCCTCCTGGAACTCACTTTGTAGACCAGGCTGGCCTTCTGGAACTCACATTGTAGACCAAGCTGGCCTCCTGGAACTCACTTTGTAGACCAGGCTGGCCTCTTGGAACTCACATTGTAGACCAGGCTGGCCTCCTGGAACTCACTTTGTAGACCAGGCTGGCCCTGAACTCACAAAAATCCACCCGATTCTGCCTCCCAAGTGCTGGGATTAAAGGCATGGGCCACCACCGGCTGGGTGTTTTGTTTTGTCTTGCATTGCCCGCCCACTCTGACCCCACACTGACCTCTGACCCCTTGAGGATCCCTGCTCACCGTGTTTTAGGTTGTCCTTCCATTCGCCCACATAGTGGTCGCCGTTCACAGCATATACTTGATGTCTCAGCCCGTTCTTCTGGGCTTTCCAGTCCCACCCTTTCCACAGGGGCTCTGATTTTCTTGGGCACTTGGTGACTGGCATGTCGGCTGCTTCTGTGGTGTCGGAGGGTGAGAGATAGGAGGAGCATCAGGGGCTCAGCGTATCCCGTGTATCTCTGGGATCCTGGGGCTTCCCGGGGAGGTGCCTGCCTGCGGTCCAGTAGGGCAGGTCATGTGTGGTCTGAGTCCCCAGGGCAGGTGAGCAGCCCTCAGTGGGGATCCTGCTGTGCTGTACTGACCCCGGGCAGCCCCCCCCCCTTGCATTCTCCTGGGGCCCTTCTGTGGGGATGTGATGGCACAATCCCTTGGGAGCCCAGGGAGACCCAGGGTTTGTGATGACGTCAGGGAGAAGCTGGCCCTGGAAAGAATGATGGTCACACACACGTCATGACTAGACGGACCAATCAGAAGGGGTTTTGGTGGGAGAGGAGCCCAGTAGGAAGGATCAGATGGTGGCAAGTGCTGGGACCACTCCAGGAGAGTCAGAGGGTACCAGGCAGACGGCTCCCTTCAGCACACCCTGCAGGAACATCCCTGGTCCAGCACCTGCACTGTTACCAGCTTTGGCCCTACTTACCTGGTCAGTGGGACAGATGGTGGAGATCGGGGGTGGCCTTTCAGCTGGGACAATCCTACAAATTAAAGAGACTGATCCCAAGGTGACCCACTGTCCCTGACTGAAGGTTTGACTATACAGTGAGATCTCTCAAAAAACCACAGTGGCAAAGTCCCCCACATCCTTCCACATCTGACCTCTGACCTAGGCTTGACGACTCTGCTCAACCCCCTGGCAGCTTCTTCTCTGGCTCTATCTCCTAGAATCTATAAAGAAACAGTGGGTGGCCCAGGGCCTCCTTCCGGTGTCCGGGAACCCCCATTTGTGTTCCTCACATCCCCCAAATCTCCCCAAAATCTCCAGAGAGGACATTCATGTCTTCCCATCTATCTCCATGGAGTTTGCTCAGGGGTGATTTTTAAAAAAAAAGTCTTGTCCAAATCCTGGGGAACCCTGTTCCCCCTCAACTCCAGAGGTTCTGAGGCTGCACAAATCCACTCCCATTAAATCTTGCACCAGCAGCCCCACACAGGTACTGCCAAATCAGAATCATCTCAGGGTTGAGCCAGTTCCAGGAGATCACGGTATCTCAGCATCCACCCACAGGGCCAGCCTCAAAAGCATGTGCTTCAGGTTGCACACGGTGCCTGCCCCCTGTGCAGCTGTCCCCACAGAAGGGACCACTCTTTGCTCACCCTCTGTTGCTACCCAGTTTTGAAACTATTTATTTATTTGGTTTTTCAAGACAGGGTTTCTCTGTGTGACAGCCCTGGCTCTCCTTGAACTTGCTTTGTAGACCAGGCTGGCCTCGAACTCACAGAGACCCACCTGCCTCTGTCTCCCTAGTGCTGAGATTAAAGTCATGCGCCACCACAGCCAGCTAATTTATTTTTTTTAATGGAGTCTTGCTATGTAGCCCCGGCTGACCTGGAACTCCATATGCAGACCAGGCTGACTGCAAATTTGCATTATTTTTCCTGTCTCCTGAGTACTGGGATAACAGACATGCACCACCACACTCAAGTTCATTCATTCATTCATTCATTCATTCATTCATTCATTCTCTCTGCCTCTCTGCTTCTGATAGGCTTTCCTGTAACCCAGGCTAGCCTCAAACCCAATATCCAGGATGACCTTAAACTGGTGGTCCTTCTACCTGCCAAGTGCTGGGTCTGCAGGTGTGAGCCATCGTGCTGGGTTTATGCAGTTGGAGGATCAAACCCAAGGCTTCATGTGTGTAAGCAAGTACTCTACCCACTGGTCCCCTGCCTTTACCAGAAGAAAGCATCAATCAGATCTCCTGGGACTGAAGTTCAGACAGCTATGAGCCACCATTTGAATTTTGGGGATCAAACCTGGGTCCTCTGCAAGAGCAGCCTGTGTTCTTAACTGCTGAGCCCCTAACAGTCGATTCTCCACGGGCCCTTTAGTTGCTTCACTGTGTAGAAATCTAGATCCCTGGTAGACCTCAGATGAGCAGGGCCTTGAGAGAGGGGTGGTGACAGCGTACATCTTTAATCCCAGGCCTCGGGAGGCAGAGGCAGGCGGATCTCTGTGAGTTCGAGGCCAGCCTGGTTTACAGAGTGAGTTCTAGGACAGCCAGGACAACACAGAGAAACCCTGTCTTAAAAAAAAAAAAATGAAGGAAGGAAGGAAGGAGGGAGAAAGGGAAGGAGGGAGGGAGGGAGGGAGAGAGGGAGAGAGGGAGAGAGGGAGGGAGAGAGAGAGAAAGAAAGAAAGAAAGAAAGAAAGAAAGAAAGAAAGAAAGAAAGAAAGAAAGAAAGAAAGAAAGAAAGAAAAGAGATGAGGCCGTGGTATGAAAGGATTTTGCTCCTGGCAGAATCCTGTGGTTACCAATCTGCATTTGCAATATCTTTATAGGTCTTCAAGACCACCTTTTCCCACCAAGAGTACCCCTGCTCAGTACCATTCTACCGCCGTTCTCAGTAGAGATGACAGGTACCGTGTCTTTTCTGTTTCTCACCGCACCTGGTACCTGCACACAGTAGGCCCTCAACTAAGGGACCCTGGGAGTACTAATGCAACCTGTAATCCTAACTGTCGGAAAGTTGAGGCAGAAGAATCACCGTGAGTTTGAGATCAACTTGGGCCACAGAGTGAGAGCCTGTTTCAAAAACGCAGGTATCAGGGCAGGAGAAGGTGGCTGGGCTGTTAAGAGCACTGGATGCTCTTGCAGAAGACTTGGTTTGGTTCCCAGCACCCAGATGGCAGCTTGCAGCTCACAATGTCTGTAACTCCAGTTCTAGGGAATCTAGTGGTGGCATATGAGTTGTGCACAGAAATTCACGTAGGCAAGACACCCATACACATAAAATAAAAAATAAATAAGAGATGAGCAAAAGTTAAGGGAGATATTGGTGCCGTATTAACCCCAAAGTGACAATATGTCCTGGGCTTCCTAGGAATTGTAAAAGAATTCTGCACTAGATTCCCGTATGATGTCAAAAGATATTACCACTCCGTCTGTGTTTCATAGATTCTTCTCTTCCCCCCCCCCCCCCGCCCCCCAGACAGGGTTTCAGCCCTGGATATTCTAGAACTCTGTAGACCAGGCTGGCCTCGAACTCACAGAGATCCGCCTGCCTCTGCCTCCCGAGTGCTGGGATTAAAGGCGTGTGCCACCGCCGCCGGGCATAGATTCCCCTTTTGTCCCCCCATTTTTTCAGAACTTAAGAAGAGGTAAAAGTGGACCAGAAAAGAAAGGCTTGCAAACTGCCCAGGCTGTTTTGTTCCTAGAGAGAGAGAGAGAGAGAGAGAGAGAGAGAGAGAGAGAGAGAGAGAGAGAGAGAGAAGAGAGAGATGTGGACACTGGAGGGACCGGGCACAGACAGCTGGGTACCCTTTCTGAGCTCCAGCCCCCCCTGCGTCCACCTGGCTCACCTGTAATAGCAGCCTTGGGCTTCACCTTCAGCTAGAGTTGCGCGCGAGTCCGGGCCCCCTGGAGGTTGTTATGGCAACAGCAAAGCGAGCTGGCAGTGTCCGCCTCTTCCTGCAGAGGCCCGGTAGCGGGAAATTTTAAGGGTAAGGAAAAATCCTATCTGCTCTTAGTCTCTAGGACGGCTTTGAGTCTCTTTGGGAAGCTCTGGAGACCGTCTCCCAGGAAATTGCATAGCGCGCATATTACAGAAGCAAGTTCTTGCTCTGCTCACCACGCTCATAGCCTGGAAGACCCCGGAAGTCCTGCCTAGCCCTTCCACTGTTCTCTTTGAGGGGTTCCCCTAAGCCTGGCACTCAGCCCCCTGCCTGAGCTACACACTTGCTTTCCTGCTGCTCCTGGAGAGTGAGCCTCAGGCTTTGGGCTCTGGAACAGCTGCTTGGACATCTCCCCGCCGCACTAAAGCGTGGGTCTTGCCGTCCTTTCTCTCAGAGCTCAGTTCGGACGTCAGCCCCTCACCGAGGAGTTCTCAGGACCACCCTGTTTAAAATGGGAATCTCCACGTGCTTCATCCCTGTTAACGCTGTTAAATGTTTATTTAAGCACTTAGCACCGCTACTGAGACACCCACCCATCCCCCAACCACCCACAGTTGTCCATCTCCAAAGACAATGTTTTTTGCATTCTCGGTTTTGTTTCGTTTTGTTTTTCTGAGACGAGGTCTCACTAGGTCGCTCTGGCTGTCCCGGAACTCACTCTGTAGACCAGGCTGGCCTCACAGAGATCCGCCTGGCTCTGCCCCCCCAAGCGCTAGTATTAAAGTCATGTGCAACTATCCTTGGCTCTCACTCTCACTTTTATCTTGTGGGGGAAAAAAAGAAAGTAAGTAAGTAAGAAAGAAAAAAAACAAACAAACAACCAGCAACACCAAAACCCTCAAACATAAACAGGAAAAAAAGGAGGCCAGTGAGATGGCTCAGCAATAAAGGCACCGAGCCTAGTACCCTGAGTTAGAGCCTTGGGACACACACGGTGGGAGGAGAGCTGACTCCTGCAGGTTCTCTCTGACCTGCGCGTGCGCACTCACACACACACACACACACACACACACACACACACACACACACACGCACACACGCACACACGCACACGCACACGCACACATACATACGCACACACGCACACAGAGACAGACACACACATATGCTGGGAGGAGAGCTGACTGCTGCAGGTTGGCGCGCGCGCACACACACACACACACACACACACACACGGAACACCAATTTCAAAGACACAGGAAAACACAGTTGTAACAAACAGCGCTGCTTCCCCTTCCTGCGCTCGACCCGTGCGTGCGGCCATTCTTGCCTAATCGAAGGTTTTGTAGGTTTGTATTGTTTGAACTCACAGACATGCACCCGCCTCTGCCTCCAAGTGCTGGGATAAAGGCGTGCCCCACCAACCCTGATTCCCCCCACCCCCACCCCACCCCACCCCACCCCCCCCCACCCCACCCCACCCCCGAGCTGAGGACCGAACCCAGGGCCTTGGGCTTGCTAGGCAAGCGCTCTACCACTAAGCTAAATCCCCAACCCCCAACCCTGACTCTTTCTTTCGCCTTTCTCATTCTGCCCTCAGCCTTCTGACGCTCTCTGAGAAAAGTGAGCCGCTCCTTATGTCCCCGCGATTTGAATTCTGTCCAGGAATTAACTGTTTCCAAATGCCTATCTCAAGCACTCAGCTGGCCCAGCTAGGTTCGAGAGTCTGCCCTGGCTTACACCGGTTCTTCTCATAACATTCTACTTTTCCCTCAGGCACCCAGCCAGCCACAGCAGCCA